GGTGGTGGTGGAGGAGGTGGTGGTGGTGGTGGTGGTGGTGGCGGTGGCGGTGTGGTTGTTGGTTGGTGGTTGTTAGTTGGTAGTTGTTGGTTGTTGGTTGTGGTTGTGGTTGTTGTTGTTGGTGGTGGTGACCGGTGGTGACCGGGTGGTGACCGGTGGTGACCGGTGGTAGCGGTGGTGACCGGTGCTGACCGGTGGTGACCGGTGATGACCGGTATGGTGGCTGGTGGTGGTGGTGGTGGTGGGGGGGGTGGGGGTGGGGGTGGGGGTCCCGCCTCCGCTTGGGAGTGTATGGGAGGCTTGCGGAAGTCCGCGAAAAAGGGGGGGAAACCAGGCGGGGCGGGGGGGAGCTTGCGGGGAGCCGGCGGAAGTCCGCGGGAGTCTGCGGGAGTGTACGGGAGGGGGGCAGGGGCAAGAGTCAGCGGAAGTCCGCGGGAGTTTGTGGGAGAGGCCGGACAGGCCAGGCGGCGAGGGGGGGGAAGGGTGGGAGGGGGTTCCGTGGGGGTTCCCGTGGGGGTTCCGTGGGGGTTCGGTGGGGGTTCCGTGGGGGTTCCGTGGCGGTTCTGTGGGGGTTCCGTGGGGGTTTGCGTGGGGGTTGCGTGGGGTTCCGTTGGGCGGTTCCGTGGCGGTTCCGTGGGGGTTCCGTGGGGGTTCAGCCGTCGGTAGGTGTCCACCCTGTCCTTGTTCGGGCCGAAAATGTCTCCAACGTTGTGGCACGGACCCTGTCCTCGTTAGGGCCGAAAATGAAATTTTTCGGCTCTAACGTTGTTGGGGTTCCGTGGGGGTTCCGTGGGGGTTCCGTGCTGGTTCCCATGGGGGTGCGTGGGGGGTTCGCGTTGGGGTTCCGTGGAGGTTCCGATGGGTGTGTCGTGAGGTGTTGCTTTCCCCCACCCAACCCCCGCCGCTTGGCTTGTGCGGTGGTGGTGGTTGTATGGAAGGGACCCCCCCCCACCCCCCCCCACACCACCCCCACGCAACCCGCCACGGAACTTTGTTGAAACAACCGAGTTGGGGTTCGGGTTGCTTACCACCCCCCTGGGAGGGGCCCGGCTTCGGCAACAGTTGCTTCAACTGTGTCATCTGCTGGGTCCATTGCACCTGTCATCATGTGACCTCGGATTCGATGTGAAACCTTCCTGCAGCTTCTTCTCTAGAACCACTTGGTGCAAGTCAGCACGCCGTTCCCCCGATGGCAGCTTCGCCGTCGAATACGGGACGATGCGATCAGTGTGAACAGTTCTTTGGCCAGCTCGATCGCTACTGCGATCCCGATGAAGCGGTACAGGTTCGATCGGCCAGGTTCAGACGCCTCGAGAATGGCGAGATGGTTGCTGAGGGTAACGAGTGCCAGCCTTGTGAGGCAAGCCGTGTTGCTAGAGGTTCTATGAGTGGTAGTCCTTCCGTCTTTAGTAATTTCTAGCAGTCGTGTCGATTTATATTTATTATGAGTCAGTCATGAGTCATTCATCCATACTCCCCTGCCAGAAGACCCGAGCCACGAAGTTCGGGAGAATCAAGTTGCAAGATCTCAAGAAGCTTCGTACCGAGCACCCAGCCACTTGGGAGCATTTGGTTGAACTACTGTGCCGTTGCAGCTGTGGGTTGAATTGGTTGCCGGGTTCGATCAGGATATCGATGAGAAGTTCCAGGAGCACCGTTGCGTGGCTTCCCGACCAGGTGCCCGAATGCCCAAGGAAGGTTTCGATGTTTCGGCCTACCAAGAGCAGCAGACGAAACTTATCTCGAGACAACCAGATCTTTTGTCGGTGTGTGATTGTGATAGTGATAGCAAAGCACGGTCCTTGTCATCATCATCATATCATATCATATCATATCATATCATATCCAGATATCCAGTCAGTCTCCTTGTCAGTTCTTGTCATTGGAGTCATTGTCATTGTAAGTTGTTGTCATGATCATTGTCATCATTGTTTTCGTTCGAGGTATGCTGACAAGTTTGCAGAAGCTTGGTGGCTCCCTCTCGACGTTTTCATCACGGAAGCAGGTGGCAATCCCTTGCAATTGAAAACGCAGGAGAAAAAGATCGAGTTTGCCTTGAAAGTTGGTGCGAAGCGCATCAGCTGGGATGATGGCCAGCCCGGGGTCATTCAAAACCTTTATGCAGATGGACGCAAGAAACTGCATATTGGTGTGAAGAGCGGAACAACGAAACGCCAGGACCCTCGCTTGAAACCACAACCCTGCACAAAGTTCAGGGTCGAGTGTTCTGGGATCGTTTGGGTCGGTGACCGGTGTATGGTGCAGTGCGAGGTGGCGGCGCATTCTGGATAAGTAGTCTAGAGTCAGAGTCTAGACAGGCATGCGGCCTGGGTGTGGGTGTGGGTGTGTGTGTGTGTGTGTGTGACTGTGTGTGTGTGTGTCTGTGTGTGTCTGTGTGCGGGTGTTCGTGTGTGTGTGTCGATAGATATATATGATATGATATATGATATATTATATATATATAAATATTTATTTATGTGTGTGTGTGTGTGTGCGCGTGGCTGTGTGTTATGGTCTGTGACGGTCTGCGTGTACGAGTCTACAAAGTCTACTGTTGTATCAACTGTATCGACTGTATCGTATCATACAGGAATTACAGGAATCATTACACGGTATGTGTACCTGTCTGCATAATAATTTATCATATCGGTATTGCATGGTGCTTCAGTTGTTCGCAGTATTGAAGGAGGATGCGGATGCTGCCGGGAATGCTGATTTGTGCGAAGCAAACTTTGCGGCTGCGATGGGAAGCCACTCGCTGCTTATGCAGGGTTCTGCGGACATCCATCCTTCCAGGCTGGTGAATCTCCCAGAGCCGTCAGACGTCGACTCTACCATGGAGGCTGCCGAGGCTTCGGCAAGTCGCCCGGATGATCGCCGTGGGATGAGTTTCGGAGTGTTTGATGCTATTCCTCACGAAGCGGAAGAGCTGACGAAAACAGCTCGAACGGCCGAAGCCAAGTCCAAGCGCCGCAGGATGGGCCAGTCTGGAAAGAGTGCTGGTGTTTTGGATGCACCGCTTCAGCTGCCAAACTTCGGCAACCTGTCGCAGCCGCCATCGCAGCTGCTGCCGAGCGCTTTCAAGCAGCCAGGGGCAGTGGGAGCCGGATCGAATCGACCTTCTGGACAGGCCTCCCCGGGAGCGGCGCCGACCAAGAAGACTACTGAGCTCATGCAGAAAGCCCAGGAAGCATTCAAGAAGCACCAGGACACCTTCACTGACTTGGGCATTTGGGGCAACAAGATCCGCAAGAGAACCCTCGAGCAGACTGTGAAGAGCTTGTCGACTTTGTCATCCCAGCTCCTCGCAGCCAATCACGAACCAGCTACCGAATTGAGCTGCGCGATTTCCGCATGGTGTGACTCTGCAGAGGCACGTCACACGTGCCTCACGAACATCCGCGCAGCCCCCTTCAGCTACCTCATGGAGCCGTGCACGGAGCTATTGGAGCCAGTCCAGATGCTGTCCATCCCGATGCTATCCAACATCATCCTCTTCGTCGCGGCTGAGTGCTTGAAGCTTCTGGACAAGGTGAGGTGAGTTTTGACTGGGCAAGGGAATTAATAAATAATAATAAGGGGCGAAGGGGTCAAAAGATCGGGTTAAGACAGGGAGGGGACGGGTCTGAGTTTGGGTGGGCCGCTGCATCGTAAAAGCCAAATCAATCCACATTGCTTTGATTTTCGCAGGAGGACAGAGAACACGACGGCAGCGCCAAGTTCTTCAAGCTCGCGAGCTGTTCCCGCCAGGACTTTCTCAATGTGGGCATTGTGTACTCCGCTGCAACGCAGCAGACACCGCAGAGCTCCCGATCGGATACTGGCACGCTTAACAGCGTGGCCGCGAATTTGCAGAGCCAGTTGCTGTCCTTGTGGCTGGACAAAGTCGTGCGGTGCAAGACCGCTGATCGCTTCCGCATGATGGTGGGCATGTGCCACGGGTTACGAATTTAGGCTAAAGTAAAAAATCAAGTTATTATGGGCTTGTGGGTTCAGTGGTTTATGCTAGGGGGTTATCAGTTTGTTTGCTGGCTAGGGGCTTGGGGGTTTGGGGGTTTCGGGGTTTAGGGATTTAGGGGCTTAGAGTTTAGGGGTTTAGGGTTTAGGGGTTTAGGCTAGGGTTTAATTTACGGCCTATGATACCGCCGCATACTGCATATTCTGTTTCCGTATACCGTATACCCTGTATACTGTATGTAATGCTACTGCTAGTGCTATTGCTACTGCTGCTGCTGCTGCTGCTGCCACTAGCTACCCACTGCCAACTGCCTCTCGGGCTGGTGAATTTCTTCATGCTATGTGGCTATGTAAGCTATGTAGCACACTGACACATTGTGCAATCCTTCAGGTGCCCGGTTCCTCGCATGGAGCTTCTCAGGCTTCCTTCGGATTGGAAGCCAGCGCAAACGGACCTGGATTGCACAGCGCTTGCTCAGTCCTACACCTCAGCTGCCAAGTTTGACATGGCAGCGCTGAGGCTCATGGCAACCTCAGACTGGAGCAAGGCCGACATGCAGTGAGGGAGTGGACTCAGACTCATAATCAGATTCATTACTCATGAAACCAGTACTTACAGACTTACTTACAGACGATTAATTAATTAATTACCATTTAAACAGAGAGGCCAGCCCAATGGACATCCACATTGCCAAGACGGTTGTTGATCTTCGCGGGCAGCTGTCAATGAAGCTGCAGGCTCTTTTGCGTTCCGCATCCGGAGCACCGAAGCCACTCGGCTTCACTGCCTGGCTTTGTTTGTCTGTGTCAAGTCCAGTGACCAGTGAGTCTAATGCCAGGATCAGGATAAGTAGGATAAGTTAGGATAAGTTTTGGGTTGCAGGAAATTATCGAATTATCACAACAGGGTCGGTCTTGTCCCCTTTCCGTGCTAGGACCTTGTGGAGTGCGATGGAGACAGCCAGCAAGCGGGCTATCACCGCTGCCAGTGTGGCTGCTAACGTGCGATCCGCCGTGGCGGCATTCCCTCACACCGCCTTGCAGCAAGCTCAGGAGAAGAAGACCGTGCTGCCTTTGTTGGTCGAGGACCCCGGCACGATTCGGAGAGCCAGCAATGGACTGGCAATGGATGTGATGTGATAAGCTGGATGGATAAGGTAGCCACTCGTAGCCTTAATATTCTTGATGGGTTCTTCATTCTTTCAACTTCTTGTGAGGCGGCCCAGATCGGGGTCGACTGTGCCCTCAGCGCAAACGAAGATTTGAAGGCAGTGCCGCAGACGGGAGATATTGAGAAGGACAAGATCGACTCACTGCAGACAAGTATCGCTGCCGTGGTCACTCGGACTTGGCACTGGTCATAGTCCAAGGCTATGAGGTTGTTGCAACGACCCTCAAGCCTCAAAGGAGAATCGCCCCGCCCCCTGTAATAGAGGGCCGGTTGCCGCTTCTTGATTTCTGGATTCAGGAGCAGTTGCTGAAGGAAGTCGGCTGGCGCGTGTTGCCAGACGCCTGCCGGGCGCTGCAGGCAGAGACCTTCTTCTTAGCAGAGCCGGCCCCGGAAGTTGTCCAGTTGGCCAACACAAAAGTTGCAGCCCTGGGCAAGTGGCTGCAGTTCTTTCAGGCGTCTGATCTCGATAGTCGATATGATAGAATAATAGTGGTTGAAGATTCCTGAGGATTTATAGAAATTTATAGTCTATTTCGGCAGGTTACCAGGTTCTAAAATATACATCCATCCTAGCGCAGTGGCGCACTCACTCGTTCGGAGTCTGACAGGTCAGTCCACAAGCTGACCGCTTGCACGCGGTGATCGGTGACTTGTTTGTGGACTTCTGCCACGTGCACAACCTTGCGATGACCATGGAGAAGAAGATGACGGCTGAGGCTTTGGCAACGGCTGTCAAGAGTTTGCACAAGCTCAACGCCAATCCCAAGATTGGCGACCTCCGTGCTCTTTTGGCAGAGTACGAAGCCACTGGCCCCTCGACGAACATAGAGCTCGAGCTAGGGTTCCGAGCTTCATGAGGTCTAGCTTTGAGTATGCCGTGAGTCGTGAGTAATGCTCCGTCCGTCTCAGTTTGATAAGATCCGTTTTGAATCGTAACATTAGTAATAGTAACATTAACATGATAGTATAAATTTGGCGGTTCTCGGAATTCGTTTAACCATGGGCTCTTGGCTGTGCTTAGGTCGAGACGCATCGCGGGACGACGAGTCTGTGACATCTTTGTTGGCAGCCGGACGGAAGCTGATTGAGATTTTCGATGGCCCCCAGAGGCTTGTGATCCAAGAGTCATGGCTCAAGGCAATGCTCCGCGACGGCAAACGTGCCGATCTCGAGCTGTTGGACAGCACCGTGATATGTGTCTTGGACACCGCCGCCGGGGAGTTCTGGCGAGCTGTGCAATGCGTGGGAGAGGCGTCTGAGCGAGAGGCCAAATTCCTTCCAAACGAAGGAGAGAAGCTGGATTTGTCCAAAGGCAATCTGAAGGATTTGGCCATGTATTGTGTGCAGCTTCAGACTGTCAGCGCTCCGGAGATGCACCGACTCGGATTGCCCGATGTGGCCGACAAGCAGGCGGCTGCTCGATCCCACCTCAAAGATGCGTTCACGTCGCTTTGCGAGGAGGTTGCTGCCACGAGGGAGTCTTTGAGCAGCCCGTACACTTCCTTCAAGAACATCCGTGCTGCCGTGCAAGAGTGGAATGAGGACCAGATTCGGCGTTTGCTGCCTAATCCCGACGAGGAGGAGGCCGGCATGGCCCGCACCGCAATCCAGGATTTGATCGTTGGCCCAGGGTCGGAATGTGCATATTGTCATATTGTCATAATGTGACTTTCACTGACTTTCTGACTTACCGGGACCCTTAGTAGTAGTAGTAGTAGTAGTAGTAGTAGTAGGGCCCTGATATTATTGGGGATTTAGGGTTTAGCCGGTTTAGGCTATGGGCTATGGGCTATAGGCTATATAGGCTATAGGCTATTAGATTTATGATTTAGGCCTTTAGGCTTAGGGCTAGGGTTTAGGTAGTAGGGTCGGTAGGGTTAAGTTACGTAGTTAAGTCAAGGTTGCAAGCAGCTGCGTGATCTGGAAGAAGCCTACTCGGTCCTTGAGGCTTGGGAACAGGACGCCATTTACAAGCACGCTGAGGTTGAACCCTCGTGGAAGTCGCTGCGCGACATGGTGAAGAAAGCCCCCACGGCTGTCGACATCTTCCTCGTGGTCGCATACATCATGGGCGCGGACATTGCGATGAGCAAGGTCCAATCCAACACGCACCAGCAGGTCACGCAGTACTTCCAGTTCTGCAGCACTCAGCTGAAAGTGGCGAAGAAGGACTTGCCCAAAACCCTGACGGACAGGCTAGATCAAGTGGTCAAGGAGCGAGTGGTTGAAATTGATATCGACCGATACAATAAGCTGAGGGTTTAGGGTTTAGGGGTTCGGTTTAGGCTAGGGGAGCCCCAATCCTACCCATACGCCCAGGAAGCGAAGCAGATGACAGCATCGGAGCCGTCCCCACGACCGAGCAAGGCCAAAAGGATGGCATGATGTCAGTGTATGATCATCATGATTCCGCGATGATGCTTACTGATCATCGTAGTGATGGCGAGACCGCCAGCGCGAGGCAGTTCTCTGTGGTGTCCTGTTTTGCAGCAAGCTGACATTTTCCGATCCAGCCTTTCCGCATTGATACTTAACTTAAGTCACTGCTTACTTGTCCAGTGGTAGCTCGTCTGGATTCGCCTTCAGCCGAATCCTGCAGCCTTGGCGAGATTTGTAGCTGTTGCTCTGACCAATCGCCTGCTGCTGCTTCGAGCTGCAACGGTTCCAACAAGATCGGAAAATAGTAGCTTCATCTAATGAGAGAACTCTGCTGTGCTAGTGTCAACATATTATACGGTATGTATGCTGTGTGGCTTTAGGCTTTAGGCTTTAGTCGTCATGTAATGCTGAGGTAGGGTCGGTAGAGTTTTCTCGCACGTTGACGTTGACGGACACGAGAACTGGTGTGCATCCTTCTGTGCTCCACCACTGACATTTGTGATCCCCAAAGCTCTTCACAGCTGGCAGCACACCGAACAGGCTGCATGCTGTCGGAGGCTTCACCGTGTGCCCGCCTGTGGCAACAAAAGCGAGTATGTCTGTATGAGCCACATTCATTGGTTGAAACCCTTCCGCAGTTGTGTGATCGATTGATATCTAAGTTGTGCATGCTGCATGCCGATGTGGCGCAGGATCTTCCGAAAGTTCGATCTACAGGGAACGAGAAAGTCAACGAGCCTTTGCAGAGGCAGCTTGCAGGTTTGCAGGAGAACCCTTTGTTGCAGCATCTTTCTGATGAAGAGATCTACGAGTGCCATGCTTGGAACGAGGGTGCTGCAGACTCTCCCTGAGTGTCTTGCGAGTGTGTGTGTGTGTGTGGGGTGTGTTTGTGCGTACTTTCAGCTAAGGCACGTCAGGGATGCGAAGAATCGGATGGGTGCAAGGAGATGGTCGCTAACCATCTCCCCACGCCAAGAGGCTATCGTCACCCTACTGTTTTGGAAAGCCAAGCTCGAGGGTTTGGATATGGACAACTTGTACGTGGACCTGGGGAAAAGCTGGGAATACAATGCCTTTCGTGACGATGGGTTCTTGCCAGCGCATCGCGACTGATTTGTAACTTTGTAACTTTAAAGGCCATGGGCCATGTGGCTGCGTGATGTGAGACTCTTCCTTCAGCTGAGATTGTATCTAGGTTGACAACGAATTCCCGCATCTACTCGTACGCATTGGGCAGACCACTTCACGGCTATGAGCTGTTGGGTTTGCGACGCGGCGAGCATCATATTTCATGACTCATGACTCATGACTCATATCTCAAATATCATATCATCATATCATATCACATGCCTTAGGAGTTAGGAGTCACTGTGTCGGAATCGAATTGGTTCAGGCAAGGCTTCCGCGTGGACAAGTTGTGCTTCAAGGGCTGCACGAAGTCCCACCTCTGGCCCTTGCTTGCTGGCTACTGTGCGATGAAAAGTCTTCAGTCTTCCTTTGTCGTTGTTGGGTTTGCTCGCCGAGGCTAATCACCCAATCCCAAATGTTAGGGATTGCGCAACCAGGTAATTGCATGAGCGTGCCCGTGATCGGCAGTGCCCTGCTGGCTGCTACTCGCACGGCATCAGGGTTTCTTTGTCCGTGGGGTTTCGTTTCGTGAGCTGCATGGCCTGAGGCATGTGTAGTTTTGCTATTTGCGAGTGCGAATGCAATAATACTTTAGTTGAGGTTCTTGCTTACGGCGATTTCGGCAAGACCCGTGGACACTGGCGGCAGGGGGTGGTGCCAACACCAACCTCTCAGGCAACGACCGTCCCTTTTGTAGTACAGGATGAGCCGGACACTGACAGTGCGGCCGAAAGTTGTATGAAAGATGCTGACGATCAGGATGAGGCAGACTAGTGAAAAATCACTGCAGGTGCCAATCCCATTCGAGTTTTGAGTTTTTCAAACTCCGCTTTGCGAATGGGCCAAGTTCAGATTGACAGCCACTGAACCGATGCTGCGATGCCAAAAGAAGAGCTTTCGGCAACCTTCCTGATGTTGCCATTTCATGTCCAGCACTTACACTGTTACTCACCTACATTATTTACGAGAATTTGCGTAGAATCCGACCCCGACTTTAACCCCGACCTTTGCCACCCAGTTTAACCCCGGGTTTGGGTCTAGTCTTAACGGTTCTACGCCGGCTTCAATGTGTGTGTGTATATATATATATACATACATACATACATACATACATACATATACACATGTGCATGCATGCATACATGCGTGCATGTAGGCATGCATGTAGCTATGTACTTAGGTCAATAATTGGCTAGGTAGGTGGGTGGGTGGGTAGGTGGGTAGGTGGGTAGGTGGGTAGGTGGGTAGGCAGGTAGGCAGGTAGGCAGGTAGGCAGGCAGGCAGGTAGGCAGGCAGGTAGGCAGGTAGGCAGGTAGGCAGGTAGGCAGGTAGGTAGGTAGGTAGCTTGGTAGGTAGGTAGGTGAGCAGGGAGGTATGTACACACATGCATACGCATGCATGTGCTTGTTTGTTTGTCTGCCTGCCTGTCTGTTTGCTTGTGTGTTCGAGTGCTTGCGTGTTTGTTTGCGCATGTGCCGTTTGCACAGCATTTTGTGTCTTTGTTTGTTTGAATTTTTGTTTGTCTGTTGGTTTGTTCGCTTTGTTCATACATTCAATCATACACACGTACGCAGACAGATGGCACACCACACACACAGAGACAAACATGCAGCACATGTCCAACCTCACAAACATAGCGGAAACAGCAGACTGTGATTCAGAACCACCAGGCCAACGATGGCCCGTTCAGGATGCTTATCTTCAACCTAGACCAGCTCCTAGGCCCTTCCTCCTCCCTCTACTGAATGTATGTCAGACGCAGACGACACTTGACACCCTCATCTAGCATGCTACATGTTGGGCATGGGGAGATCGGGATCAGCGAACATCTGAGGTCTTTGCATCAAGCTTCCTAGGAGTTGTGTTTTTGAGTTCTTTCGGGGTGGATTTCTTGGGGAGCACGGCGAGAGGCTTAGCATCTGCACTTGCGTCACGCGCCCGTCCAGACATGTAAAGAGCTTCAAGAGCAGCTAAGCCTCTGGCACGGCATCTTCAAGCGAGTAAGAATGGAAGTGCAACACCGAAAAACCTGAGCAGAAGGAGGCCGGCAAGCTCCTGCATCCGGGTCCCTCGATGGTTCCTCTAAAGCCTTTGCAGACGCTGCATGCAGGTTTAGCTTCATTTGGGGCCTGAAGACCGATGAGCAGGCGCGAGGGCTCTGGGGAAAGCGCATGGAAGCCTCGGCCCGGAGTTTGCTCTTTTGCCGTGCGTCTGCAGATGCTAGCCTTGGGGTTTAGGGGAAAAGGTTTGGGGTTTAGGGTACTTAGGGCTTAGGGTTTCGGGTTTCGGGTGTAGGGTTTAGGGTTTAGGGCATGCTTTCAAGGAAGACTTACAGGAACCCTTAGGGGTACCTTAAAGGTACTATAAGGATCATCTAGCATTCTGCAACCTCAGGTCTTGGAGCAGCAGGAAGAGTCAGTAGAAGAGGACCCAGGGCCGGTCCCGGCGCTCCCTGAGGGTTTTTTTCGAGGGCTCCTGTTACATGGGCCTTTTTGGGATGTCGGGTTTAGAATAAGGGATTTTAGGGGCTTCTCTTGGGGGGTTTTTGGGGACTCCCCGGCTTCGGAGTTTCGGGCTTCTGGCTTTGGGGGGGGGGGCTTCTCGTCTCAGGGGCTTCCGCTGCCACTGCAGCCTCCTATTTCGCACCAGGATCTTCAAAAGCAGCCCTGGGCGAACATCTTCGACCGCGCCAGGCTTCTGAACCTTGAGGCTGGGAACGCATGAACAGAAGTATTGCGTCTGTCTATCTATCTATCTATCTATCTATCTGTCTATCTATCGATATATCCATCGATCTATCTGACGATCTCTCTAGCTATCTATCTATCTATTTATATACACACATTGCATATGTACTGTATTATATATGTTGTATATTTTGTATGTGAACATCTTATATGAGGGCCTGGGTTTAAGGTTGTATTTAAGTTCCAGCGGATTTGCGGGTTCAGGGATAAGTTTTGATTTGGGGGGTTTGGAGTAGAGGGTTTTACCGTTTTGGGTTTTTTCGGTTTAGTGTGTAGGCTCCAGCGTTTTGGTCGTTTGGGCTGTACGGGCTCTCCATAGAGTAGAAGCACTGAACCCTGAACGCCAAACGCTGCTCGCCAAGCGGCCATTTGGACTTTCGACATCTTTCTGTTTGGCCTTTGTCTGCGAATGTTTCGTCTTGACGTCTTGGTGACTACTGAAAGGCCACATGCTGTGCTCATGATTGCTTCGTCTTCCACACCTTTTGCTGCACAGCATTCATTTCGCGCATCCGGATCACGATGTATTATGATGCACTGCTAGTTCTCGCGCTTTGCTTCGTAGGCTTTATTTCGCCTCCGTTGAATGCATGACTCCGGTCGTGCCAAGCATTGGGAACATCGGAAGACACACTGTAAATTTTTCGGCACAGATTGGATGCTTCGACAGCGGTCCGTTATGTGATCGGCGAAAGTCAAGTTCACGATCAGAGGGATGACAGATAAGCAGATCATCTGTCTCTGTGCATAGGTGTCTCCTCCGAGGCTCTTGAGCCTGCATTCGGCAAAGGAATATCTCTAAAGCCGATTGGGTGGAAGTCGAGATTGCTTGCCTCCACTTGCAGTGTGGAATCAAGGGCTGATGCAGTCGATTGGCGTTAGTGCTTGTTGCGGTTTTTGATGACGGAGTCTTGGAGTTTGATAGGTTTGCAGGCGCCGAGCTGAAGGAAGAACCTGAAAGACACTTCCAAATGCAGAGTCTCAGCCCAAGCTTTATATTAAAGTATATTATATTATCTTATCTTATATTATAATATCTTATATTATAATCTATTATATTATACTGTATCTTTTTATTTATATATTTTTTACATTATATTATCTGACAGAAGTGAGAGGCGACGCTCAAGGCGGAAGAAACCACGGTGCAAGCAGAGGAGAAGGCCTGGCAGAGCTGCAAGTAATTGCGGAGAAGATCTTTAAGACCCTAAGCTAGGCGTCTCAAAGCTGCAGGAAAGGAATGGGTTCAATCTAACGTTTGAGGAGCTTGTGCTTCTTGCAGGCCGAAAGTCTTTAAGACTTGCCGGGAGTAGCATCATAGTAGCTACAGTCTACTACATTCTGGTACAGTGGCACACTGGAGTCTCGGCATCCTCCGAAGCCTTGCCATGGGCCGTGCAGGACGTGGAGGTCAGTGCAAGCCGTGGGCAGGCCGGGGTGGCACGCTTGGAGCTGTTGATCATATGGGACTCTAGGGTTTAGGGTTTAGGGAGCTTTCCGAAAATTAGGGGTACCGTATTTTGGGGTCCTTATAATAAGGATCCTACAATTAAGGGTACTGTATTAGGGTCCCCTATTTTCGGAAACCCCCACATCATAGGATAGTACTTCGTTGTATCTTATAGTATAGTTGTAGTATGTCAGAGTATGCTGAAAGTATGTTATAGCTTAATATAGTCTGTTATAGTATATGACAACACAGTATATTTGTAGATGCGGACAGTCACCCAAAGAGCTTCAGAGTACTTTAGTATACTACAAATACACTATATTATCCTAGCGCATGCTAGAAAGTACCATGATCAATTCACTGGGCTCTGGGGCGTGGTTTTGTTTGAGTTCGCGTGATTTGTGCATTAGGCAGCCGGAGCGCGGGATCTCGGCGCTCTCCCATCATCCCAAAACCCTAAGCCCTAAGCCCTAAACTCAGGCCCTAAACCTTAGACCCCGAACCCTAAGCTGACCCTCAACCATTGAACCCTAAAGCCTAAACCTAACTCAGACCCTAAACCCTGAACTCGGACCCAAAACCTCAGACCCCAAAGCCTCCAGGACTTCCGCAGTGAGAGCAGCGCCTTCCGAAAAGACGAGCAGAAGCTGCAGGCGGGGGTCTGGCCCTCTCTCCGTGGCCGCAGTGCCGTGACGGTGTGTGACATTCCTTTGAATCTGAGTATCCCTATGATTGGTTTGGTTGGTAGTAGCATGATTCTTGGCAATGATATTGATGCTCCGACTTGTTATGTTTGCTTTGGGCCAAGGAGTCATGGAGTTCCTGACCTTTGGAAGCGCAGGGATAGGAAGTCGCCTTTTCAGCAGGAAAGGGCCCCCTTTGCTGTTGAGCAGGCATGCCAGCAGCCCTGTTTGTTTCTCGCGTGCTCCAGATCGCAAGCTTGTCTCAGGGTCTCAGCCGCCTTGCCGAGCGTCTCCAATTCGACGACAAGGCGCACCCACTTCCTTTCGCGGGTTTTGGAGGGGGACCCTAAACCTGAACCCCCAAGGCTTTAAGGGGGACCCTAAAGCCTAAACCCCAAACCTTGTTTGCCAAGCGAACATGTCAGGCCCGCTCACTGAGTTTGGGAGCCTCTCTGACAGCCCGAGGCCTCGAAGCCTTTCTAAGCCTCCGAGCCCTGAACCCCCCTAGCCAAAGCCAGCAACTCTGTGTTCTGAGCCGCGCAGGAGAGCGCTGAGCTGAAAGATCTGACGCAGAGGTTGCCCAAAAGCTGACGCCTGGAGTCAGCCAGCGGTGAAATGAAATCTTGCGAAATTCGAAGTCGCGGCAGCTGCCTGTTTGGTTGAGAGACAGGCATCTTCAAAAGCATAATTAGGCAGATAGATAGATAGACAAACAGAGAGGTGGATGGATAGATAGATAGATAGATATAACAGGCTCAGGCAGTGCTCGCCTCCACGGATTTTTCAAGATCTGGGATCGGCATTGTGCTGCCCATGCCGCAGGGATCGCAAGTCTTTCTCAGGGCCTCATCCGCCAGCCTTGCCCGCAGCTGCGCGGCTCTACAGCACAAAGCAAGGCACAGCACCGCGGTGAATTTGCAGAAACGGCACGTCTTAGTAAAGGAGGAAAGGATTCTCCAATTCAGGTGTCCGGCCGTTGAGAGTCTCAGAGCTCCCGAGCAAGCTTGGCTCTAAGTTGACAAAGGAAGGGCAAGAGGAAAACCTGACTATGTCTGCAGCTCTGTCGCCATGGCCTGCCTGAGCCCGAAGTGGCTTCTCGGGGGCGGCTTGGCCGCGGCCGGCGCATACTACGCCGCAGTGCCGCTCACCGGGAAAATGTGTTATCAGGTTTTGAGTCAGCGGCATAGTGTAGAGGCGTAGGAGTTTGACTAGTGCAAAGACTCTGCCGCACGCTCGCATCTTTCTTTCGTGGCCTGTTGTTGTGATGCGTGTATCTCTGCCAAGACTTAGCGAGATCCATGCTTCCCGTATCCAGACGCCATCTGCCGGAAGGAAGTACCGGCGCCCAGTGGTGGTCGTTGGAGGTGGGGCTTGCCGTTCGACAATCCCGAAGCTGGGGCTCAACACACCTTGGGCTATGCATATTCACTGGCCCACTGTTGCCGCAAGATCGTGCAGATCGGCCAGGCTTTGAATGGGTACATTTCAACTCCACATCCTATTGCACACTGTGCAGAGTAAGAAGGGGAGGGACGGAGAGCGGATTTTCCCGAGCCGGCGCCTGAAGGCGGTGTTATGGGGCTCAGCACCGCCGCTCGGCTTGCAGAGCGGGGCTACCGCGTCGTGGTACTGGACGAGAACCATCCGATCCGAGGCACACTTGGCCACTAGGGTTCAATCCTTTCGCGCAGCCTCATTCAGAAAAATCTATAGCTGAGAGTGCGTGGGAGGTGTTTTTTTGCTTTAGCGGTCAGCTCTTGAGCGGCTCTTGCTCGCCTTTTCAACTGAGGTAAAAGGCACACAAAACACAGAGCTTGATCAAGTCACAAGCGATTTAAAAGCCACAGAGTCTAGGAAGCTATCGCCAGACCCTTCGCTGGACTGGCCCGGATCGGAAGAAGCCCAGAGAAGCCCTACTCCCCCTTTGTCTGTGCAGGCTCCTGGGGGTCCACGAGAGCAAGCCACCTGCGTATGGAGGAAAGCACTAGGAAAGCAAGCTGGTCGATGTCATGACATGGCACAGGGCACAGGACTGCTCATCATGTCAACTGTCGGGCACCCCTTACCTGAACCTACGCTGCAGGATCCGGTGCTGCTTCAGATGAGCCTCTTTTCGATAAGGCTCCTCCGTGGGGTAGCAGCGAGAGCTCTTGCTCATATTGCCATGTGATCAGCATGCAGGACTCTGATCGGTGTGTTCCGACAGCCGACCCAACATGAGCCCGGCTCATCATCTGTCTGCATTTGCACTCAATGCTTTGCCAGGCCTCGGGATGCATGTGGCAAGTGTTCCTGTTTCGTTGTCCTCATTTCGGGGTTTTCCGTCTTACAGCCAAAGAGAAGCACGCTTCATGGGGTGGAGTTCGAAGAGCTGTCGGCCCATGTCGATGATGCCAATGAGCACATTGCCGAGAAGGGGCAGAAGAAGCTGCAGCAGGCAAATGATTCATCTGATGTGGTCAGCGAAAGGTGAAAGACTACCCTCGTGCTGAACCTCGGGGGCAAAAAAGGCTACTGGATGCGTCCGAGTTTGCTGAAAGACCCTCGAGAACGCTTTTTGCTTCGATGGCCTGACGTGGCTCCCGTTAAGCTTTTCGTCATGGAGGATGATGAAGAGCCCACGTGGGGACTTTACACTACATCAGCTGCAGAGCACAACAGTATCAGCTTTGCATCAGCAACGAAAAAAGCTACGCTTGGAGGTCAGCAATGTGCTAGAGTTCCTCCGCCCAGCGGTCGAGAAGAAGACGAGCAGTTGTGGCGCAAAAGCCACGAGGAAGCCACCGACCCTGCTCCGAAAGATGAGCCGGCTGAGGGTCTGGGAACTGGTGGCAAAAAAAAGGGGCGGCCACTGAAGTTGCAGAAGATCGTTCATAAGCCGCCGCCCCCTTTGTGTCTCGGAAGGAGGATTTTGCACATGACGTGCGGTGCATTGGCAAAGGTCGGAAAGAACTCTGTGAGGTTGGCGGCAGTGGCCCTCAACCCTAAACCCAGTGGTGGCAGAATCCCCACGCGACCCGCGCAAAAAGGCTGTTTCGAGGTGGGAGAGATATCTCCTGATGAATCCAAAGATGTTCCTGGGCCCCAATTACCTCCGTGCGGCGTTTGAAAGACAGATGATGTCTAAAGCCGGAGAGAGAACATCGCAGAGGAGAAGAGGCACGAGATCGGGGACACTGGGAGGCGCCTACCGCAGATCTACTTGTCTGGCACTTTCAGCCCGTCGATAAAGATCCCAGGGCTTGGTGAAGACAGATTCCATCCTGTGCCGAACAAGCTGTGCACATGGCGCAGCCCTAAACCCTAAACCCTCAACCCCTAAACCCCTAAACCCTAAGGGTCAGAATTTGGTGAGCATCCAGCGCGCCCAAGCGACAGACTCTGCAATACAGGGGAGAGGTAGGAGACGGACCAGACTGGTTCGGTCGGATTGTCAGGTATGTGGTATGGTACAAGATATTGCAGGGGGGAAGTCTACTACCATCTACTACGACCAGAGGAGGGCCTCGGAGAAGATGATCACCAGGGAAGAAGTCCATCCTCAGTGCCAAAAGACTTTGGTGTCCGGAGGCATGGCCAGATGGGCCTTACGTCCGCAGGGTCGTCATCAGGAACCCCGCTCGGATCTCATCACCGAGGGTCGGAAGGTAGGCAACAAGGACTACTTCGAGGATCAGGTAGAGCAGAGTTCTATCCAAAAGGGCGAGACGATTGCCGTGCAGGCCATACCAGTTAAGGGCTCCAGCAGACGGCTTCGTCAACTTGGCACGCTCTCCTGCACGGGGTCCCTTCTGGGCTGTTTGGCGCGAGAGGGACCGTAGTACATGAGCTCCATTGGAAGGGGAAGAGTCGAGCAGGAAGAGCTTGGCAACGCACATTGCTCCGCTCGGAAACCGTCATGTCGCAAGTTTGCCTGAAGTGTGCTTGAAGGTGGCGGGTGCTTTAATGTGCTGGCATGAGATCGGCACCGCCGTTTCTGCCAGTGCCAATATATTCGCAGAAAGGGCGATGCCGATCCTGTGATTGCCAGTGCTCGTAGCTTTGGAAGCCTCCATCCCCTCGTGGAAGGCTGCTACATATGTGTTGAGAACGGAAGGAGTCAGGAGACCTGCAATGGAGAACTCGCTGCTTATGCTCCTCAACCCATTCTTGATGACAACATGCACCATTTTCGTGGCGCCCTTCATGCAAAGTTCACAAACAGACAGCTGCCTGTTTGTGAAACTTTGCAGGAAGACTCCATCAGAACATCCGCGACATCTGCAGGTCCAAGTGTTCCTCGCTTGTAGCAAGTGCCGCCTGGTGTGCACTGCCAGGCTTAATCGGGGAATGCCTGGCACGGTCTACTAACCGAAAGGCGCCTGAGGCACAGATTTCCCTCCCCGGCGCTTAGCATGCAGAGAAAGGGGTGCCTGCAAGCCTCGGCGTCTGGACATGCGAAGTCTCTAAGCTTATGACGCAGTCAGCCAGGGTGCACTTCGCGGCAAAGTCCGGAGTCCGAAGCCGCGGTGATGTGAGAGTTTCAAGGGGGCCCAATACACACTCTTAACGGTTAGATCCTGACTACGAGAACCCCTAATTCAATAAGGTACTCCTAGTTATAAAAAGAAACCCTCATGCTGAGTCCCGCATTGCATGATCTGAGTGTACGTCCACGCCGTCCCAGGCAGCCATTCTGGACAGCTCTGTCTGGTACCCCTGCTTGCAGACTAATCCCTTTGCAAGACCCTACTCATACGAGAACAACAAGAAGAACAACAATGGTAACACTAGCAATAGCAGCAGCGATAGCAATGCTTGTAACAGTGCATCCTCTGCTGTATGCCGGTATCGCAGCATCACTCTTCAGCTCCCCCACGAGGAGCTGGCTTGACTTGCAAGAGCGCATGAGAACAAGGACCGGTGGGAAGTTGCTGGAATGAAGGGATATATTCTCTTGAGCCGGGTGTGGATGGGCTTTCATTCTATCGTGAGCACGTGAGGAGTTCAAGCTTTACGCATTACCTTGGCAAAGTTCGTCCCGACTGCTTTTAATGCACTTTCCGCCCGTGTCCGTTTGGAGAAGCGCTTGGAACAACCTTCTCAGCCTGACGTGCCTGCGAAGCAAGTCGAAAGACGTCCTGTCTGTATGGATGCTCGAAAACACTTCTTCCTCAGATGCAAGAAGAATCATAGTAGGAATACGAATGACCCTAATTCTACCAGAAATAATGGCAATGATGGTAGTAATCGTAATTGTCGTGCTACTAATACTAGAAATACTAAGACGAATACAGGTAATAAAAGCAACGCCCACAATCGTGTTGATAATTTAATCGTCCGTTGCAGGTTCGGACCTGACGAAGCAGATTGGTTTTTCTACAGGAGGACGCAGTCCGATGTGCTTGGTTGGGCTTGTAAGCAGGGTATAATGCAGGGTAGCAGAGCAGGCAGAGCACATTGCGAGATTTCCCAGTCCAAACCGGAAAGCGGAGCCCCCGCCTGTGTGCTGCTCAACAACCCTACAGGCCCCCTACCCGGCTCACCACATCCCCAAACACCTGCCGAGGACCGGCGGCCTGATGGCTGGGCCTGCAAGCATCGTCGAGGTGGGAGCTTAGCCGCGATGCAGGGATTCAGGGGACCGAGGAAGTGAGGCTGAGAAGGGGGAAGCAGGAGGGCTCTACGAGCATTCTATGAGGGTTCTACAGCTGTCCAGGCGATGGCCGAGAAGATTCGTCGCGAGGTGCCAACGAAGCAGGGAGAGGTGCCGTGCCACGGGGTCTTGTAACAGTGTCGCGGAGCGGCGGATTGCTGAAGCTTGCCAATCCTCCTGCACTATGCTTTCCATTCTTGCATGACGGCATCTCCGGAAAGGGATTTGAGCCTTTTGAGCATGGAGGCAAGGCAAGGCAAGGCCTTGCCTCGGCTTGAGAGGTCGAAGTCCTCACTGCCGCAGAAACTCCGGAGCGCTTCCCGCAGCTCCATCTGGACCCGAAGGAGAGCCTCTGCTTCAATTTGAGATATTCTGGAGTCCGACGATGGCGTGTGTTTTGTCTCTCTATCTGTTTGTTTTTTTCGCTGTTTGACGGCTCCTGCCATGATGTTCCGGAGCGAAGAAGGTCTCATGCTTCTGCGGCTTCACTTCGTTGACCGTGCAAGGTGCTTGACATCAGTTCGAGACCCTCTACATATGAAGCAACGTTCGAACAGAGAGACCATCGAAAGTCGACCTCCACATCCATCCCCCAAGCCAACCAAGAACCGAAAGCATCGGCCAAGAGCCAGATCCGACACCTAAATCCCCGATGAAAGATGTACCACCATACATGTATACAGACACGCCGATCTGCATATGTACCTATCTACATATGCACATGTGTACAGTTTTCGTAGATATACGTATATTCATATTATGTGCATATAGCAGATACACAAGTTCGTATACATATGATTCCTGAACGTGTAGGAAAGCTGAGGAAGCTGCTGTACATGCCCGAGGGCTACACCATGTCAGTGCCAACAACACTCCACGGCCTTCGTTGGGCGGCCGAGGCAAAGCCCGCAGTGACCCGAGAGCTGAGGTAGTAATAAGGGTTTCCATCAGCTGGTGCACGTTGTCTGGTGCTGGCACTTCGAGCCTACTTATTTTGGACTCACTCGTACAGAAACGACGGCAAGGGGCAGCAGCCAGAATGATGCTTGACCACGTCAAAGTACAGTGACCTTTCCAGCACATTCAGCATCCTTGTGCGCCTTGTAATCGCTGCTCGTTGCTTTGGTGTTGATCCTGCTGAGTTCTGCTCGCCTGACCGAGAGATATGCATGAGGCCGCTGGCGCCGAGTATCAGGAAGACTCAGCGAGGATCTCGGCTTTCAAGGCGGCAAATGTCGCAGTGGTTAACCTGCGGTTACGAAGTGTTCGGCCCTGGCACCCGAGGTTGTCAGCATCGACCTGCGTCGAAAAATGGTGTTCACCAAGGAGCAGAGCATTCGCTTCAGCATCCTGGGCTGCCGTTATGACATTTCGTCGCATGATTTTGGCAGTAGCCCTGAGCTTTGGTTTTGCGCTGGCGAAGACAGACAATCTGCACAGTGACAACCTCATGCAGAGAAACTGCTGGTCCTGCCAAAGGTAGGACTTGTGTGGTGCCGGAGTGACGTGAAGCAAGTCAGGTCAGGTCGTGATCACAGCCGGCCCATGGACGAATCGGATACTCCAAGGCCAAAGCTTTGCGAAGCTGAGATTTGATACAGAGCTTGATCTTCAGCTTCGTTGAACCCCGAACCCTGAATCCCACATCCCTAAGCCCTAAACCCCTGAAATCCCTAAACCCCAAAGCCCTAAGCCCATTTTATAGCACTACTTCCGTCTGGCGCCTCGAAAATTGCTCGATGCCAAGGTCGCGAAGAAGTTCGCTTAAACTGCCGATAATATCAATTACTACTGCTGCTGCTGCTGCTGCTACTACTACTGCTACTGCTACTGCTACTGCTACTGCTACTACCACTACTACTACTACCACCACCACCTACTACCTACTACCTACTACCTACTACCTACTACCTACTACCTACTACCTACTACCTACTGGCAGTATTATCGGGCAGCCGGGGCAACAAGCCAGCAGTGCAGACTCGCGGAGGGCGGATCCG